AATTAGTCCTTCATATACTACAATAAAGGTATATATATATATATATATATATATGGCTGAAAACTAAGCATGACAAATAAGAAACCTTTCAAGTAATATCAAGCAAATGCAGAGTAAAATTGTCTGACGAGGGGTTATATTTCTATATCAACCGAACTTTAGATGTTAATAAATATTCAGATATCTTCTGTCCACATGAAGTGCATTTGTCCCTACTAAAACATTTGGCAATAGCCTCTTCAAGGGTGAAATCGGTATGGTTGTTAACTGAGACAGTCTGATTGGGAGGGCATACCGGCACTTGCGATGCCTCCAAACCCGTGGCATTATTCACCTCAGACGTGTTTGTCCGTACTCGCATGAGAGCGGTGTCCCCTGCCTCCTCCGCTGCAACATCCTGGACAGGCGCAGCACTGGGGGCAGCGTCTTCCGCTGTTTGGGATACAAATGGCACCATGGTCGGCGACATCGATGGCGTATTTGGTAGATTTTCGAACGATGAAGGGTCAATATCTTCCGCCACAGGTCTCGCGGACAAACCCAAACATGCATAGCACACGCAGTGGTTGCAAGGTAACAAAATAACCGCTGGGTCATCAGAAGGAGTTTGATAGGCATCCAACGTACCAACAGTATTCTCTGCAAGTACTGCCTTGGTAAGTTTTGGTAGCTCATGGGAAGTATGATGTAGATTTAATGGAAGTGGTTGAGATGATGTGGGCATTATGTGGCTTTTCAAAATTGCTAATCGAATGTGTTGATTGCAACGATGGCATATCACTACATCGTCAGACGTAGCCCCTCGCGCCTTTGAGGAATTAACCAGGGCATTGCCAGTGCTCCCTCCTTCAGTTAGCAAACGACGAAACCTTCGTACCAAAGGATTACTGGGCATAGCATCGCCGATTTTGAATCCGTAACGCTGAATTTTATTTTGACCGTTCGTCGACGGCTCCTCGCTTCGCTGTTCCAATAACACCTCCACTACTACACGAATGCAACTCATAAAGCATACAAACGCAACAATGAAAAGAATCGAACCAAGAAAGGTATAAAGGGCAAGCATATCATCTATACCTTCCTGTACACCGCTACCATTGTACATACAAGCTGCACAATGACCAGGGTCTGTGAGAAATTGATCATTGGCGCACACTGCTAAATTTTTAACTGGTAAGCACGACATAGTTGCACAACACCATACGCACCTCTCATTATCATCCATATGACCGATTTCACCTTGATGAGATAATTGAATATTAACACCAGAGTCAATAGAGGAGAAATGCGCCCTGTTGCGGAGCGCACGCTTGGGATCGAGGCATAGCGCACAGGTATTTTCATAATAGCAACGAGAAGGGCAACGCTGATTTCCAGTAATTGGAGTGGTAGGGCAGTGACCATTTGATTGTGGGACACATCTATGTTCCTCACAGCACCAACCACATTTGGAAGTCTGGTTACTGAGACACTCATCGACCGTTGAATACAATGAACACTCGTCAGACCGACATGATGTGACTCCGATTCTGTCCACATAACAGCTTGTTCCTTTTTCACAGCAAAAACTGTTAAAGTGTGGGCGGGAACAGCACTGTTCACCTGTTCCACAGCTTGTTGACCTTCCAGTAACCCCACAGCAGGAACTTCCAGTGGGCACACAGTAAAAGTTAGACCCTGAGCCACAGCAGATGGGCGCAGACGAGGGGCATACCTCTTCTCCATTACCACAATAAACATATCCCTCTGCGTAGTATTTTAGTGAAGTTGAGACATTAAGATATGACAATTTCACCGGAGTGATCAGGTGATCAGAAGCCACAGAAGTAGATGCATAAATCAAACAAAGGGCCGTAGTCACGAGGCACAGGATGAATGTCCTAATCGATCTCAACATGGTAATGTTATTTAATCTTCTAATTATAAAGATCAAACTCAACGTATGCTATAAGGGAGGCACTTCTATCATGCAAGGTAATAAAAATAGTATCCTAATATTGTTTTTGCACTTGAACCTAAAAGGGGAAGGGAAGTAACGTTTCTAAAATGATTACCAAATCATGGGATGAGGTAAAGTTTAAATGCATAGTCGAATTCTAACGCATTGCAGACTCTTCATATATAAGAAGAAGATATCCTTGTTTCATTTGCCACCTTGAGTTTAATATATAACGATTACTAAGAGGGAAGCCATAAAGGAGTCCATAAGCGCAGCTTGCAGTCGTCAGCCCCAGTCACAATCATATTAGAAAAGGGACTACATGCCAGTGCACGCTGCATAAAGGAGGGTTGGGTTGCCAACGCATACGAGCTGTCGCCGCTATATACGCAGTACCCCTGCACAACGAAGAGAGTATTATCTTGACAGAGAATGTGACTTTCGTCGTGTGAGAAAATAGCCTGGATGCTTCGATGGTTGCATTTGGCGGGTTCGCCGAAGGACATTAACTCAGCACTGTCCCGTGCGGAACCCCGTGCTGATGGGGAAGTCACGATCGACGCTTGGCTGATGCTGAGGCGGCGTAGGTCCCATAGCCGCGCAGTCGAATCCATTCCAGCTGTTAAAAGCACGTTCCCGGTGCGACTGTACGCTGCGCTTGTGACAGGAACTGAACTGTGTGCGGCCTCCGCCCTATGAAGTGCGCGTCCGCTAACACCATCATACAATATCCAAGAGCCATCCAAGCTTGTCGTTACAAGGGTCCGGCCATCTGGGGAAAAAGAAGCTGATGTAAGGCCTGCACTATGTGAAGTCGCTGCTATGGGTGTTACCGATACTTCATTAGTACGCTCCGAAGCAGTAGACATTGCACCAGGTAATCCTGAGTGCCTAACGCTGCCAGGTGGACTGAGAACCTTACCAGTGCGCAAGTTGGTCAGACGCGGGACCGGATGGTCCGTAGCAACCACAGCATACTCGCCACTCGGATGAAAACCAAAGCCACGGACGGGAAAATTATCGTAGATCTGGAGTTGAATACTCGAGTCGGGGTACTCATAGCTGCGCAGGCACATCCCCCCATCGCGGCCACCGGTCAAAATCAGAGGACATGTTGGATGAAAACGGATGACTTCAACGGAGTGCTGTGCATGGTCACGAAACCGTCTAGCCATAGCAATTTCTGTAACCTCATTAGTGCTGCGTACACCATTGGTATTCTTACCATTGCCGTGAAGACCTCTAAGGCTATTAGAAGCCCTAATATCATCCAAAGTGGTCAAATCTTCTATAGTCATTAAAGAAAAGACTGCAGCTAACCCGTTAGTCCCAGAGCAGGCCACCAAAGATCCGTCAGGTGAGAAAGAAAGATCACGAAGCACACTACTAACAGAAGCCGACGTAAAACGATTCTGCATCTTAAAACAGCGACGGCCGAGTGACCAACTCTGAGATAACTGAAGCGGTGTATAGACTTTGGCAGCACTAATATATCTCTCCACTACCTGCTCTAATGCGAAGCATTGCATGTCACGTTGTTGAGTCAGCTCAGTACTCAGTCCCGTAGCAACTAGCCACTTAAGCCGCTCTCCATCCTGGTTCACATCTGCCACAATAGTGCCCGTAGCATCTGAAACTGCTGACGCAGCTGCCAGATACCCATCATGATGTAGTTGTTGAATTATTAAATGATATAATTGTCGCTCTACTGGATTAGAAAGAACTCCAAGTCTTTGTCGCTTACGATTAACACGATTCAGAGAGGGACTGGAGTGACTGCGCACACAACTTTCAGTATTTGCGGGTTGCATAATGAATGTATATATGGATCACACCAATGTGTCCAAAGGACTAATGCTTCTAAATTTGAAAAACGCCCTCCTCAGTCAAAATAAAAATTTAACTAATAATAAAACTAAAACTTCCCTCGCTAAGTGCCCACAAACTAGATGCGATAAAAAGCTTAACCCATATAGAAGATGTCAATTTATATACATATGCATTCATTTGTATTCTATTCATAGAAACATCCACTGAAGTATTTTTATTAGCGTTTATTTCATGTTTACCAGGCTTACATGTAGAAAGAAAACAACGTATGATCTACTTACATAAAACACATCACATGTGCAAGAGAAGAAAGTCGGAAAGAAGGGAGAAACAGAAAATAGTCTGATATTAGATTAAAAAATAGTGCTTAATATTTTTATTAGAAGAAATATAACCTAAAACCGCTTCAAGAACTTCTCAGCTATTCATATTCCCTCCATAATATCCCTAAAATGAATATACAAAAATATATTGACGTTCTCCTAGCATAGGTATTTAAAAGCAATTAAAAACACGAAGAAAAAATGAGAGTGAAATATCTTAAAAACAAAGAAAAAATGAGAGTGAAATATCTTAAAAACAAAGAAAAAATGAGAGTGAAATATCTTAAAAACAAAGAAAAATAGAGAGTGAAATATCTTAAAAACAAAGAAAAAATGAGAGTGAAATATCTTAAAAACAAAGAAAAAATGAACTTTATACATTCTAGATCTGGGCAGACCTTCTGTTTCTTGTTTGGTATAGCACCGGTGGAGAACCTCCTGTTAATCTCGTCATTACTTTCGCTCCGTTCAAACGATTTCTAACAGAACAGTAGCAATGCCTTCAGTGTGGTAGTATGCCAAGAAACAGCTGTAGCAAAAAAGACATACATGGATACTATGTTAGTTATAAATTCAAAAATAGGGATAATTAGTATTCAAAACAACGGGAAAATCAAGCATATAACTTAGTGTTTATCAGTGAATGGGCCTTATTACACAAAATAATTAATGGGAGGGAGGGGGGGAGGGGAGAAACGCACCACATAGCAATTTCTGCGTGGATGAAACCTGTCGCACATGCTCGGTCCAGCTCCTCCTAAACCTCACCACCTGCAACCTCGTGAGAGGTCAGTATCGATTTCCGGTGAGGGTCACCTTTCACAGATTGGCGTTGTTGAGGCGAAGGCAAGCGCGACGTATGCAGATGGCGTCACAGTTTCCACGCGCTGGTGCATTTCCCCTCGATGAAGAGAGGGTGACTCTGCATGCGCGCAACAATCAGTGGTCGTCGTCGTGTTCCTGCGGGCTAACTCCTCTCACATACTGTTCCTTTGAGTGCACCCGCTCGATCACGCCAGCACTGACGAGATGCATGCACTTCCACGACCTACGCTGTTGACTGACTAGATCGCGAACTATTTATTTCCTAAAGGTGCATGGTCCTCAGGCTTATTTTTGCTGTGGCATTGTATGTAGTTCCCAGCAGGTTGGTAATTTTCAGAGCCCTGCTGCTTACCGTGTGCCGTAGGATACGGCAAACGTGTCGTGTTCTTGAGATGCATGAAGCTCGACTTATTGCACGATAAGCCAGGCGCCACGTGACCATCCTCAGACCATCCTAGCTTCGTTTGCACGCAAAAATACGAAATGAGAAAACGTAATAGAACGGCAAGAATCGTGCCAGCCGCGAGGCAGATGACGATGCAAAATAGCACCAGGTGGTGCACCGTCGTAACATCCCCGAAGTCGGCGTCGAGGCCCACCGCGATCAGCTTCGCTGGTGCCTGCCCTCCCGTGCAGAGCGCGAGCGCCGCGCTGTAGTCTCCTTTGGAGAGTACGCTGATGATGTCCCTTGCGTCCCACGGGTGCTGCGCCATCACCGTCCGATCCTGCCGTGCTTCGCCGTACGCCAGGAGACCCTCGGTTCGCCTGCCACCATCCTTGATGGGCTTAAAGTGTGTGATGCTCACCTCGGTGACGTACAGGCGACGGCCCAATGCCATTTCCGCACTCATCCTGATGCTGTGATTGAGAGCCGTGGAATCGCCCTCCAACACCCTCTCCCAGTCGCTCGGGTTGCCGGAAAAACGAATAACGAAGCGCGCCGCTACGTTGCTCACAACCTGATATGGTGTCGGAGGATCGGGGCTAGGGGGCAGATGTGCACGGAGGACGACAGGCAGCCACAACAGGTCCTTGAATTTCGAAGACTGCTCACTGTTCTTGATGAAATTCGCGAGCTCGCTTCCGAATAAGGGGAGGGTGCTACCCAGCAGCCTATCACGTACCTGCTTAGCCGTCAGTCTCAAGGTATCCGGTATTCGGTCGGTGGGGGCGGCGTACACCGTGTAGTTGATGTAGGCGTCGGTCGAGTTGGTCCACATCGACGTCGGCATGATCTGATAGTGTGATGGATCGGCATA